AATAATAATAATAATAGTAATAATAATAATAATAATAATAATGATATTTAAAAGAGAATTTATTAATTTATTTTTACTCGGAATTAGAAAAAAAAAATGGCTGATTAAAGAAAGAAAAAAAAATTAATAATAATGTTTCGATAATTACGTAATAATGGTAATGTTCATTCGTCCGTGATCTCGAAACATTACGACGATTATTATTATTATTATTATTATTGAAACGAGATATTCACTTTATTAACATATTATTAATAATAATAATAATGATGATGATGATGATGATGGTGGTGGTTGCGATATTTAACATACGATAAATGATATCTTTATCGGATTTGTTTTAATTTAATATAAATATATATAAAAATTATGTTTTAAACTCGATCGTAAATAGATGCATGTTTGTAGTGGTTAATAACATATACTAATCGATCGTGTTTTTGTTTTTTTTTTGTTTATCAAAGAAACATAATTATTAAATATGAATCGTCGGGATAATAATAATGATAATGATGTTATTGTTAAAAGTTCAGTAGAAGTAAGTCAGTTAAATAAGATTTAAAAAAAAAAAAAAAAAAAATTCGTCTTCTGCTTCGTTGTTGTTGTTGTTTTTATTAATGTTTTTCTCGAGCGAACAATTTTGATTTTCATAACCTCCCCCCCCCCAAAAAAAAAAGTAAAGGGATTTTTAAAAACACCGGTTGTTGTTAAAATAACAATGATGATGATAATGATGATGATGATGATAATCACGCGGATCTAATAATTTTTTTTTGTTTTTTTTTTCTCTCTCTTCTTTTTCTTTTCCACGTTCTGCCCAATCAAATGATAACATTCAATACAAAAAGGTCATCATCATCATCATTATTATTATTATGTTAGGAAATAATAATAATAATAATAATAATAATAATAATAATAATAATAATAATAATAATAATAATAATAATAATAATAATAAGAAAACTCGCTAAAAAATAAAATCCGAATTATATTTTTTTTATCAATAAATGTCGGCCATTTTGTTTTTATTTCATTTTCATTTTCAATTATTTATTTATTTATTTGTAACAAAAATTATTATTATTATTATTATTATTATTATTATTATTATTATCGATTATAGATAGCCTTAAATTTTTATTTTTTTATAATAATAATAACGTGACCTTTTGTGTCAACCTTTAAATGGGGAGGTGAAAAACCTTTTTATCAGGCCCACGTGCACTCGTTTCATTATCATTAATATCGTTAAAATTTTTTTTTTTTTTGCAAATTTTAAAATTCGAAGGTAACGAATTTATTATTATTATTATTATCATAACGGAATTTATTTATTTTTTCCAGCCGATTTTAATGAACGGTGGTAATTACATAAAAGAAGGTATCGATCCTGCCAAAAGTACCTGTTTGATATTTTCACCCAAAGAAGATGAAGTCGGAGCACTTGCAAAAGCGCTTAAAATGTTCGAAGTGAGTTTGTTTGTTTGTCATTTGTTTCGTTTGTTTGTTTTATCTTTCTTACGTTGTTATTGTCATTGTTGTTGTTGTTGTTGTTGTTTACAGAAACAAAAAGTCAATTTATTACACATAGAATCGAGATCGTCATCGAGATTTACCAATCAATATGAATTCATGGTTGAATGCGCACCCGGTGGAAATTTAAGCGCCGCCATTGAAACCCTACGACAACATTGTTCTTATTTCAGCATAATATCGAGAAATCACAAAGACAATCAGGGTGAGAGTCGTTTTATTAATGACGTCATTCGCCAACCGGAAATGGAAAGTTAATTTTTTCCCGATCGTTTCAGATACCGTACCGTGGTTTCCGAGGAGGATTCGCGACCTTGATAAATTCGCCAATCAGATATTATCATACGGTTCGGAATTGGATTCGGATCATCCCGGTTTTACAGATCCCGTTTACAGAGCCAGAAGAAAATATTTTGCCGACATCGCATACAATTACAAACAGTTATTATTATTATTATTATTATTATTATTATTATATTATTTTGCACTGTTGCCATTT